TTGCCATCCCTGTTCGAGGGTATGCTTCCATGAATCAGTGTCCATATAAATGGCTATTGAAATTTGGTTTTAATTTCCTCTGAATTTTGGTTTTAAGTTTTGAACACGACTTGTTTTCTAGAATGGTTCTCCTCATTCTGTTCTTGAAGGGTTCTCTTATTGCAATAACTGGCTATGGATTTGTATAGGTATGTATCATGTGTTGTTGGTTGTCCAACAGAAGGATCAATTCCTCCATCTAAAGTCGCTTATGTAGCGAAGGAGCTTTATGAGATGGGTTGCTTTGAAATTTCTCTTGGAGACACGATCGGAGTTGCCACGCCCGGTAACAATTTAAACCTTTCTTTCCCAAAATCGAAATATAGATTGCTTTCATCTTCTACGCTCTCTTATAGTATCCTCTGTTGGCACAGGGACTGTTGTTCCCATGCTTGAAGCTGTGATGGCTGTCGTTCCGGTGGACAAGCTTGCAGTCCACTTCCATGACACTTATGGACAATCACTTCCAAATATTCTAGTATCCCTCCAAGTAAGGAATCTTTTGAAGCTGAAGTTTGACCTCGTTTGGAATGACTTTCTAAGTGTTTCAAATACTTCCCAAACAGATCTTCCTACTTCCTACATCTATAAAGAAGCGCTGGTTTATCAACCATATGCAAGAAAAGCTTCGGATTGACAATCACCAGAAATGGCCTAGAACCAATAGTTCATTATCTAATGGATTTTTTTGTTCTAATACTCCATCTGAGAGTTATTAGTCTTTATCAAATTTGTTCCTATCTAACAGAACACTATTGGATCAAATGACAATGACACTATTGAAAAAAAAGTGTTTTTAAACCCTTAGAAAGTCATTTCAAACATATACTTTGTCCCTGGCCAAACTTGCTTTCCAGATATATGGATGCAAGTTGCAAGCTTTGCCTAGGATTTCATTTCATTTGGGCCAACTTAAACCATTAACTTGTGTGTTGCTTTTATGAACAGATGGGGATTAGCACAATAGATTCCTCTGTTGCAGGTCTGGGTGGATGTCCATATGCAAAAGGAGCTTCCGGGAATGTTGCAACTGAGGATGTGGTGTACATGCTCCACGGACTTGGCATAAAAACCAATGTGGATTTGGCAAAGGTCATGTCTGCTGGGAACTTCATCAGCAACCATTTGGGGCGGCCATCGGGTTCGAAGACTTCCATTGCCTTCAACCAACTTGCAGCCGATGCTTCCAAGATGTGACACATCTTATTACTCATACATTTACACCTTACATTGAACGAATAAAGAAGGGTTTCACTTCAGGAAGCTTTCTTATAGTTCTTATACTATTTTATCTGGCTGAATATTATGCAGCCCATATCTCAAACAACATAACTATTGTCTGTCATGAAGTATCTAAATGTATGGATGTGAATCCTCCCATGATTTGGAGAGGTTATTATTTATCCCTTTTGTGTCAGTGGTCGGAATGCCTGAGATATTATCATGTCATGGAAAACTTTCTTGAAATTCACCTATTGACATTGGAATTCTCGACTCCACCTATTTCATTTCATTTATCAATGAAATTATTTCTCTTCTCGAAAAAGATATTGTCACATCATATTGGCATTGGAATTCTCTGACTCCACCTATTTCATTTATCAATGAAATTATTTCTCTTCTCGAAAAAGATATTGTCACATCATATTGTATCGAGTAAAAATGCATAGAAGTATTAAACTACGGTCAAGCCACAGAGTAAAAATGTATGTGAAAGAGAGTGTTTGCAGATCCCTTGAAAACAAGATTTATCTGTTCCAAATCCTTGTTAGTAATTGAATCAGACTTGCACAATGTGGTCTATGGAGAGAAGATGATATATGCAATACAAGACTTATTAAGCAGAAAACCATACTATTCTGTGGAACTGCAACTGAACAACTCCAGAAAGCTCCGGGCAGCATCCGAACTCAGTTCTTCGTTAACCTGTAGTCATATTGATTATAGGATTTTCATTCTAATGTCAATGGAGGATGAAAAACTAAAAATCTAATTGCACGCATGTTCTGAATGACTTACAAGTTTATTGTGAATCTGTTGAAATGAGTTACAGAATCTTTCTGCTTCAAGCTTGCCCACCTTCGTGTAATGAATAAGCAAACAACAAGCTGTTAGATACAAATATAAACATTGTTCTTTCACATTCAAATGAAAGTATAATGCAATGCACCATCAAGATGGAATTTGTTGAGAAACTCAGATATTTGCATTTATGTTAAAGTGATGCTCATTTGCATTCAACGATTTAACAAAATCTGAAACTGAATATACGCATGCGAGTCTTTCATCACATCAAAAAAAAAAAAAAAAAAAAAAAAAAAAAAAAAAAAAAAAAAAAAAAAAAAGAANGAAAGAAAGAAAGAAAGAAGAAGTAACTAATCAGTTGCATAGAACTAATTTCGCGAAAAAATGGACAAGTTCAGATCAAAATGCGTTGACAAATTATAATATTGAAAAGGACTGACAAGAATTTAAGCAGACGAAAAAATTTGGTGAACTTCCATTTTTATCATATAGATTGTAACTAATGAGCTGTAAACATAAACACGAGAACTTGTACCAGAAAAGGGTAACCAAATAACTCTAGGGGTTTTATACCCTAATTTAGACTTCAATGCTTTCTCGCATCCCCAGCATAAATGTCCCAAATGATCGTCACACTTCAAAAAGAAATAGAAGAAGCTCATACCTTCTGCTCAGCAGCTAACTGTAGCTTCTTCCAGAATGCATCTGTTATCAGTCATCCCAAAAAAAATGTAATATTTTATATTTAAAATTCTAGGAAAAATAGGAAGCTTTTGTTATCTGGGCCATTGAACAGATACTATCTACTAAAACCAGAAAAGATAACTTCATAAGCGATTTAAGAACAGCTATATGCAATCCTAGGCAAAAAGGGGTTTCATGGTTCCTTAAAGCAAATAAAACATATTTAATCTCACTTTTAAAATGTTAATTTGGAATGAGATAAAAGAAGTTATATTTTCAAGATAAAATACCATGTAGGTCAGATCCTTGATCCTTTGATTTTTTTCCATCTTCCTTCCATGCCTCCTGCCATTCACTCAACTATAAACAAGACAACATTCATTATTTCATTAACCAGCAACAAGAACATGCGAGAAGGACAGGAAGTAAGGGCAAAGCATTTAATTAACCTCACTCTTGGATGACTTGGATGTTGACTGTCTAGATAACTCCGACTCCGCCTGAAAATCATACGAGATTTTTAACAAACTGGATGGATACCTATGCTACTAATAATTGTAACATACCCTTCATGGGAACAGAAAAAACTTCACAATCTAGTTCATAGAGTTTTATATGTATCATTCAACTAAACTTTTTGAACTCCATTTTAGTCTCAGTGCAAGTGGTTGAAGTTGAATTAGAAGCTTCCCCTAGTCTTAGTTAATTTCTTGTTTCATGATTGGTAAAACATCTAAATAAAAGACAAACAAGTTTTAGCTCTCTGTTTTCCCACTAAAAATTGACGCATCCATCACCAGAAAAATGAGCATCATTGACAAGTTTATCAAAGTCAATCATATGGCTGATGCTGCAACATCTATCAGTGCACATACATCCTTCTCAGGTATGTCTCATCCTTCCATTCAAAAGTTTTTATTTTGGCACAATATAGTTGATCTATCAAAGAGGGAAAAGAAGCTAAAGATTCAATAAGACAATAAAAATTAGAGTTTGCTGTTAATCAAATGGAAACAAAGTTCGCTATTAACATTACTTCCCGTGCAGGAGGCTGCAGTCATGATGTAAGAAATTAAGGTCGTACTCAATCAGCGCAGTAATCAATAGAGTCTCTTGTACTTCAACTATCAGTAATCAATTCAAGCAGATTCTTCTTCGAAAGTAATCGATGACAATTTGACAAACAATTATTTTAGAATAATATCACTTTTCTTTTGAACCAAACAAACAGTGGCCAAGTTATCTCGCAAACAGCAAGAACAACCCAATCCGTCCTAATCCCGGGTAGCAAGTGACGTTCCAACAATGAACTAAAAAATTCTAGCGGGAAGAAGGTTTAAAAATTGAAAGCGAAATGCAGAACTCGTTAACAAAGAACAGAGTAGCAGTGGAATACATAACATTGAATGATCAAGAAAAATTCTAAGCTAATTACTTTTTCCAAAAAGATAGATATAGAGAAGAAAGAGATGGACGGTACATGATAATCCCGAGATCGAACAACGGGAAAGAGTTGAAGAAGTCGACGAAATTCGGACTCGTCCATAGTTGCTATTGGATCTACAGGATGCCGAAATGAGGTTCTAATACCCTACGCTCTGGAAAAATCGGGTAATTGGGTTCAAAGACTTCGAAATTCAGATTTGTCAAAAACTGCTATCACGCTTCTCGTTCATCCCTATTCCCTTCAATACTGGACCGGATCTCCTCTCTCTCTCTTTCGTAAATTACAACAAATTACTTTATTTTTAATTTTTAAAATTCTTTGTTATTAAAATTGTCGAAGAAAAAAAAAAAAAAAAAAAAAATCCTCAAAATTATATTCATATTAAAATATATTTAGAGGATTTAGGATTCAAACCATAATTCATGAAGTTAAAATTTGATAAAGTTGTCCTAGTTTATTTTTTTTATTTTTTTGGGGTAAAATTGACCATTTTTTTTTAAAAAAAATCTCAAGATGGATAAATGAAAAAAAAGAGACAAATTTTCTTCTTATTAGCTACATGAAGTTAGGACCGAAAATTATATTCTTGTTTGACCCCACCCCACTTAGATATATATATATATATATATACTTAATAAATTATTAAACAATATTTTATATAATTCTGTAGTGGTCGTGCAAATGGGTTCCCATCCATCGAAAACCAAACATTTTATTTGATAGATGAACATCTTAAAAAAAAAAAAAAAAAAAAAAAAAAAAGATGAAGCCAAAAA